CCAGGGTTTGTTGTGGATTCTTGAAGATCAAGGAAGGAGATCAGGATTTCGATCATTAGAGAACGGGAAGTTCTCTTAAATTCACAGAAGATAGACGAAATCAAGAGTCGGGTATTGGTGTTGCATACAATCCAGTAGGGCTAAGAGCTAGGAGTTGGTGCAGGATCACTCATTCCTGGAGGGCTTTGAGAAAGATACAATCAGGAAGTCAGAAAAACTATTGTGGGTTGAATCTGATGGATTTTAAGTAACATTTTCGTTTATAGTGGATTCGTACTGGCTTGGGCCGGAGTTTTATCCACATTGGGGTTTCTGCGTCATTAAATAATTGTTTTCTTTGCAATTTCTACACTTTATTTGTTTTCAATTTTCAACATAGGATAGTAAAATACGTAAATTGATCTGGACAAATTAATATTTGTGACTTGTTGCATTTATTAATAAATTGGTTAAAAATTTCGCATAAACACCTATTCACCCCCCTCTAGGTGTAGATTGAGTCGAACTACATTATTTCAACTGATAAACAAATCGAACGAATTTATTAGTTGTGCGTAAACTTGAATTTATAATTTATTCAAACTGCCTAAGTACCCAAATGTGATCAAGTTGAACGTAGTTTATTACAAGAACACAATTTTTTTGTTTATTTTGGAGTCGTTCATAGTTTATCCTCTTGTAGGCCAGGATTTTTTTTTAACAATGAAAAATTTAATAAATAAAGAACTTCAAGCATAAAAATACTTTAGAAATTTTTCATTGATAGGCTGGATTTACAATCCATTTTTGTCGACGATCTTGTATACTCCATTAGTGAATGCACGAGTAACAATAAATGGACCATCCCATCTAGGTTAAAACTTGCCTCCTGTTTTTCTTGTGATTATAATCGACCAGCACACAAAAAGTACTAGATCTCCAACTCGATGTTGTTAGTCATACCTTTTTGTTGAAGGATTTTGCCATTCGAGCTTAATAACGCTCTAGCTGCATTTGTACTTTTATCATCTTCTCATCCAAAGATTTTAGCTCTTCCAATCAAAGACAGGCATTTTCTTCTGTTTTCAAACCTTTTTTTTTATGACAATTCGAAGTGACGGGATTTGACACTTCAAAGGAAGTATAGCTTCTATTCCATACACTAAGGCGTAAGGAGTGGCTTGCGTTGGAATTCGATAAGTAGTTTGATAGGCCATAAGATTTCATCGATTTTTTCATGTCAATCTCTTTTTGATTTGGAAACAACATTTTTTAGCAGACTGCACAATGTTTTGTTGAACGCCTTTACCAACCCGTCAGTTGCCACATTATATGGATGAGTTGTATTGTTTGAACCCAAATTTTGCACATAAATTGTTTATATGAATATTACTGAATGGTTTGCCATTATTAGTTATGATGTGCCGCGGGACATCATATCAATAAATAATTTGGATATGAATGAGATCCGTAGCAATTTTCACCAACGCTCTAGGATTCCAACAATCCAAAGGAAGCCCCGGCATGGTGCACATATTATCATAATCAAATTCAAAATACCACAACATAGTCTTTAACATTAATGGCCTACCAAATACAAATAGGGGCCTCCATGTAACAAATTTGCTCTAGAAGCCTCAATTTGAAATTTGAAAATCAGTCATCCACTCTCATAAACAAAGTTTGGTATGGAACCTTTTATATATCGCACATTTGCAACAATGCTTTTTTACCGAGGAATTTCCCAACAAAGTATCCAACAAGGTAAAACTCCCATGATTGTTCCACATCGTCTACATCATTTGCATCGAAAGTAATTTTATTAGGTTAGCCATCAATCTTATGTAACTGAAGCCCTTCATCAATATTCCTGTTATCCTTAAAAAGATTAACCCAAGAAGCGGTGGTTGCACTTTGGTTCAATTTCTTACATTCAATTACTTCTTTCTAGCCTCTTAGGTTCACCAATCGAGCTACAAGAATCTGTATCATCAGCCCTAAGTATTAGGGACACGCTTGGAGATGTCAAATTTTCGTTTCAAGCTTCTCCCAAAACGCCCTAGTTGATCCATTTACTGCCTTAGCATAATGCATATCGCCAGCTTGTGCACTCGCATTAGAAGAGGCCAATCCAGCCTTAGAAGAGGCCTCACTTCGTTGATTCACCTTATCAATTGCCTGGGCTGAGGGGTTTTTTTTATAGATGGGGACAACACACAATGTTGGGCAAAAGTTTATTTCTTACCCATAAACATAATAGGTTGGGGGCTGAAAGCCCAAGGAAAAAAGATAAAAATTGCACTAGGCAGACTAACTAAACAAAATGCAACATTCCAAAGACTAAAAAAATATTACCCAATGTGTAAGGTATGAATTGCAAGCTTTGACTACAATAACAATGTAGATAATCTAGTAAAGCAGAGCACAAGATAACCCAAAATAGCAACAATTCAAATTTAATATTTGAAATTTAAATAAGTATCTTGACCAATAGATACGCAATACATACAACTTTCAAAAGATGAAGATATTATAGTTAAGCAATAAAACCAAAAATTCAACAATACCCAAGAATCAAGTTCCTCCCAGCTAGGGCTATAATGGATCGGATATGGAGAGAATCTGCCCAAATTCAATTCGATCCGTTAAGAAAAGTTATCCTATCCGATTCGATCTGATAATTCAACGGATATTTGATTGTTAAATCCATATCCGATTTTCTATGTTATCGGATATCCGATCCTAATTTTTAAAAAAAATAAAAGGATACGCTTTTCCAATATTTTAGTGATTTTTCAATGTGGGATATTAGTCAATTGTCAATTCTAAGTGTTAATAGTTTATTTTATTATTTTCATTAAAAATCATAGCCTCAACAAAATTATAATCACAAATAATATCAATTTAAACAATGTAAATTATTTTTGGACATATTAATTATTAGTTTTTGATGTTATAAAACAAATTACTATACTTATTTTTATCTTATTTTAATTAATAAAAAAATTAAATATCTTCAAAAATTTCAATTAACAATATTATATTATTATCTAATATTATTTATTATTTGAAAATTATGTGTAAAGCATAATATAAGTTTCAAAATGGAAAAAATTATGTTTACTAGATTATGATATAATATATAAAATATATTATATTATTATAATAAATCGGATCAGTTTGTTATTGGATCGGATCGATCTATATCCATATTTGCTCCATTTAGTTAAGAAATTATCGGATTCGAATCTTAATAGGATTATCGGACTAAGACCCTAAATCTATCTCCCATTAATCTCATCGGATTCGAATTAAAATCTAATCCATTGACAGTCCTATTCCCAGCAAACCACTGAACAACCTAAGTTATTGCCCAGAAACGGCCCGTGCAGACAATGGTGGAAGATGAATACAAATAGACCAAAATAAAACATACAACCTGATCCTGTCCAGTTCAAAGAAGTTGAGGAACCAAGCACTAGGCAATAGACAACTAGAAGAATTTGCTGAATCCAAACTTCTTGGAATAAATAGCAAGAATCCAGCAAACAAAATCTGACTAAGGTAGTCGACAACTTGAATAAAACTGAATACCCAAAATTTGTAGAAATATTGGATGACCAACAAGCAAACCTAGTTGATATTGTAATGAACGGAACCTGCCTAGATTGAACCCGTGCAAAATCATCCAAAATGCTAAGAAACTGATAACAAAACCTTCAAGAACTAAAAGAGGAGATGCAGTTTCACTAATATATAGCAAAAAGGGACTAATAATCAAGAAAAAGTCAAGAAATCAAGGCAATCAAGTGAAATTTTCTCTTGTTAGAATTGAGAGCTTCTCTCTCTAACTTTGACTGAGAGCTAATCAAATACGTTATCTCTCATATCAAATGTTGATCCTCTATTGTATTCATCACTTTGGCCCTGAACTTTTTTGGATTCTGCAAGTGCACTAAAGAACTCATTTAAGTGGCTGTTTGCTTCCCATTCTTTTCCATCCAATTCTCATTTTGCACTATCATTTTCAACTTTTGTGTGTCCCCCATGTTTGAATTTAGTGGACATTTAATTCCTCATTAGTAGAGCATGGACAAGCCGCAGATAAAATGTTGATTTCCATCTATGCCCTTGCCATATATTTTTGTTCAGGATGTTTGAGTGAGACAATGAGGGTAAACTAATCCATATTCATTTCCAACAGCCCTGTCAGATGCATTCAATTCTGGCAATTTGAAGACTCTCTAATTTTTGAATATTTTTGCTACTGTAGTTAATTGAGATGTGAAGAAAAAATTGGAAAAGAATGGAGCTCAAACAGCTGCTAAATAAAATTCTTATGGAACCGACGAAGTCTGCACTCAATAGGGCAAAGTGTGTCAATTTTAAATGATATCACACATGGACAACACTTTCATTTGTGGTGGGTTCTGTCATTCATTTAACAAATTATTAATGCCATGTGTAATTTAGTAATTTTGCTGATAGAGCTATTTAAAAATTCATAAATTGACGGATCTCTTGAAATATGTGGTAAAAATTTATATATTCAATAAAATATATAATTAAAAATGAATTTGATTAGCTTATAATCTAAAAAAGTTTTCTCAAACATGAGCTTAATCAAAACAACACAAAGTTTGTGGTATAAATGAATATAAAGTGGCATAGAATTTTTCCTTGTATTTCATTTTAAAAAATATTATTTTGTCTAAACTTTAGACCCGTTTGGCCTCCATTAATTTTCATTTCATTACATTTTATTTTTTTCTTTCTTATTTTCAATTACACTATTTTTCACAATATTACACCTAAATCGAAAATTTTTCCTTCTTTTTCAATAACTCATTTTTTAACAAAATATTATTTTACACATTTTCATTTCTAAAAAATGGCGGCGAAACGGGGGCTTAATCCTACTTGTGTCGGTCCTAAGAATTATTATCAACCACGTAAAGGACAGAGTTTGAGAATAACCAATAAAAAATAATCATTGATTTTACTTTCAAAAAGAAAAGTGATTATGTGGACCTCACCCAAAGCTCCCCTTACCTTCGCCTAATCCTCGCCACCGACCTCATCTCAAATCTGGCGGGGAAACTTCAAAATTCACAAACCCATTTAGAGGGAAACTCAAAATCTTCAAAAAGTTTCAAAATCTTCCATTATATTCGCATAATAATCATTTAATATCTATTTATATACAACTCTGTCCATTGCAGATTTTCGAGTTCTTCACAGGAATAATAGTATACAATAGTCTGTTCGACAAAATTCCTCAGAGAGTAGAATCTTGAAGATTGCCAGGAAAAAAATGTATGTGGTGAAAAGGGATGGGAGACAGGAGACGGTGCACTTCGACAAGATAACGGCACGGCTGAAGAAGTTGAGTTATGGGCTGAGCAGTGAACACTGTGATCCGGTGCTTGTGGCGCAAAAGGTCTGTGCAGGGGTCTACAAGGGCGTTACCACTAGTCAGCTTGATGAGTTGGCTGCCGAGACTGCTGCTGCCATGACAGCCAACCACCCTGACTATGCTTCTGTGAGTACATCATTTTTATTTTAAACCCTATGTATATTATTAATTTATGATTCTGAGTTTTGGGTCTTCCTAATTTCTGTTGGATTTGATAGTTTAATTTCATATTATGTAACCAAGTCTCCTTTAATTTTTATTTTTTTTGCCCCTCGGTTTATTTTACTTTGTTGTGTCTATACAAAAATTCTGTTTTTTGTTGTGCTATATTCTTTCATATTCCTTGATTCCTTGACTGTAATTATCTCTACCAAAATGTAAACGGAAGCAAAATTATTGTCTAGAATATTTTGAGGTTAATGTTGAGAAATGATGGGTTTCATTTGATGAAAATGGTGCAGTTGGCTGCGAGGATTGCTGTTTCAAATTTGCACAAGAACACAAAGAAATCATTTTCTGAGACGTAAGTACTCTTACAATTACAATCAAACACAGCCCCAGCACATATTTGCTCTTTAATACATCCCTATATCTGGATTGTGGTTCATGACAGTAATAAGATTCTGAGGTAGTCTTGATTTGTGTTATTTTTGCAGGATTAAAGAAATGTACAGCCATGTGAGTGAGCGGTCAGGATTAAGGGCTCCTTTGATTGCAGATGATGTTTATGAGATAATAATGAAGGTATTTCCACTTTCAGTGGATATTGGACCTGATATGATTATCCTCTGCATCAATATGGTTGAAGATCTTAAGTTAAAACTAAAGTTTCTATACAGTCTTTTGAAATTACTTTATGAATATATTATAGAACTTCTACAAAGTTGAATTGCTCAGAAAGAGGAAATGAAAGAAAATGGATGTACAGGCAATGGATTCATTTGATTGAAAAGTGCTCAGGATCCGAATGATTGTGTCATGAATTTTTGTTTCTCCAGCTTGTTGCTAATACAAGTTTTTTCTTTTTCCAGAATTCTGCTCGTCTTGATAGTGAGATCATATATGACAGAGACTTTGATTATGATTTCTTTGGTTTTAAAACTCTTGAGAGATCTTATCTCTTAAAGATCAGAGGGAAGGTTGTCGAAAGACCTCAGCACATGTTGATGAGAGTTTCTGTTGGGATCCACAAGGACAATATAGATGCAGCTCTCAAAACATATCATCTATTGTCTCAGCGATGGTTTACACATGCATCTCCTACCCTTTTTAATGCTGGAACACCAAGGCCACAAGTATGATCATTTTGGACTGCTACTGAGCACTTGCATTTTTGTTGAAGTTTCACCTAATTGTTTTGATTACTTGTGTGAGAATTTTATAGTTGATGATCACTGTGGTGTATTTGTTGCTAATAAGTTCTCTCTTTATGCCTCACAGTTGAGCAGCTGTTTCTTGATATGCATGAAAGAAGATAGCATTGAGGGCATTTATGATACTTTGAAAGAGTGTGCTGTTATCAGCAAATCAGCTGGGGGAATCGGTGTCTCTGTTCATAACATCCGGGCTACTGGAAGTTACATTCGTGGAACAAATGGGGCATCCAATGGCATTGTTCCAATGCTGCGAGTGTTCAATGACACAGCTCGGTATGTGGACCAGGGAGGTGGCAAGAGGAAAGGTTAGCTTCCATGCATTTCTTCTTTCATTGTTGATGTTTTTGTGATACTCTTTTTGATTTCTTATGTCCTCTCTGCGATGAGAATAGGTGCTTTTGCTGTGTACCTTGAACCATGGCATGCTGATATCTTTGAGTTTCTGGATTTAAGGAAAAACCATGGAAAGGTGCTAGAAGCTAGCAATGAACATACACATTTTCTTATTGTTCAAATCATTTTGTGTTTCAGTCAATCCATTTCATTCATTATATCATTATTCAAAGTTTCTCTCCTTCCCATCTTTTGCAGGAAGAGCACCGTGCTAGAGATCTATTTTATGCTCTTTGGGTGCCTGATTTATTTATGCAAAGAGTCCAATCTAATGGACAATGGTCATTGTTTTGTCCAAATGAGGCTCCTGGATTGGCTGATTGTTGGGGTGAAGAGTTTGAGACTTTGTACACACAATATGAGAAACAGGTGAAGCAAGTTAATTCAATGCACATTAATAATGCATTCTGTATTGTATATGATGAAGATCATCACCGACTTTGGCATGAATTTTTTAGAATCATCTAGGATTTACGTACTTTATTATTCACTCCTCTACCATAGAAGAGTCAGGAGAAAAATTTAAAATCATGCCCACTGCCATTCTAGATTATTCCAGGAGAGTACGATATGACCATTAATGGAATACTCTATAGCCAAAACCACCGACATTAACACCTATAAATACAAGGTAACTGTGTGTTGTGGATATGTGTGTGTAGAAGAGAAAAGAGAGGCAGAGAGAGTGATAAGAGAGGAAGCACACAGCTGTGTGTGTGTTTGTCAACGAGGATTGAATTTGAGTGTATGATATTACTAGCGGCCTTGGTGAGTGTGTCCATAATTGTGTAAAGTGCATTTCATCAATAAAATTATATCTTAATTTGCGAGGTGAAATTCAACATATGATATTTAAATTTTATTTATTTATTTATTTATTTTTTTGGGGCTCAGGGCAAAGCTAAGAAGGTTGTCCAAGCACAGAATCTTTGGTTTGAAATCTTAAAATCTCAGATTGAAACTGGAACTCCTTATATGCTCTATAAGGTGACCCTTATAACCACATCATCTTTCTTCCTTTTTTTAATAGTTTTATTTTGTGGTTTTTCTGCTTGCATTTTTTCTTATTGTTAACCTTTTTTGGTTTTATTCTTCATTTTTCAGGACACTTGCAACAAAAAAAGCAACCAGCAAAATTTGGGAACCATTAAATCCTCTAACTTGTGCACTGAGATAATTGAGTACACAAGTCCAACTGAAACTGCTGTATGCAATCTAGCATCAATTGCTCTACCTCGATATGTTAGGGAGAAGGTTGTTAATGGCATATACTATTGGAAGAGTTAGTCTTTTCTGTACTTCATTTTCTCTATTCTTTTATTTATCTATTTTTTATTTCTGGCAGGGAGTGCCAATGGAAGCACAACCGTCGAAGCTTGTAGGCAGCATAGGCTGTAAAAACAGATATTTTGATTTTGACAAGCTGGCTGAGGTTTGATATACTTTATATACTAATTACCTAGTTTATTAGTTTCAATTACGTGACATGCGAAGATGTAGTTAATTATCTTGATGTTTGATTTTTGACTCTGTTTTAATTGTTCTGTTTGGTAGGTCACTGCGTTAGTAACTACAAACCTTAACAAGATAATTGATGTCAATTATTACCCTGTTGAAACTGCAAAAAGATCTAATATGCGACATAGGCCAGTAGGGATTGGGGTTCAGGGTCTTGCAGACACTTTCATTTTGCTCGGCATGGCATTTGATTCTCCTGAGGTAAAGTTAGTTCGCTAATCCAATTTCTCTTTCATTTCTATGCCAAATGACTTGGGTCTAATCGTACTCTAATTTTAACTGCAGGCTCAACAGTTGAACAAGGACATATTTGAGACCATTTACTATCATGCTTTAAAAGCTTCATCTGAATTAGCTTCAAAAGAAGGTGCATATGAGACATTTATTGGCAGTCCTGTAAGCAAGGTGTGATTTTGAGTGGCTTTTCTTACTAGTGGACTTTTTACTTTACTTTTTGCCTCTAGACATGTTTGAACATGTAATTTTTTTCTTACAATAAAAGAATTTGCTTTTCTTTTTGAAAATTGGGAAACTCTTACTCTAAAAAATAGTTATTCTTGGTTATCATTGTTTGCTTAAGTTGAGTCCGTATCTTTCAGGGAATTCTTCAGCCAGACATGTGGGGAGTGAAGCCTTCAGATAGATGGGATTGGGATGCTCTCCGGGAAATGATAGTGAAAAATGGAGTCAGAAACTCACTTCTTGTAGCGCCCATGCCCACTGCTTCGACCAGCCAGATTCTTGGAAATAATGAGTGCTTTGAGCCATATACTTCCAATATCTACAGTCGTCGAGTTTTAAGGTTCTTTGTTGGTTAACATTAATTTAGCTCCCAATTTATATTTGTTTTTCTTTGCTGTCTGATTTTCAAGTAATGGTTGCTCTTTCAGTGGTGAGTTTGTTGTGGTGAACAAACATCTTCTTCATGATTTGACTGAGATGGGTCTTTGGTCGCCTGCTCTTAAGAATAGGATAATCTACGAGGATGGGTCTGTTCAAAAAATCCTGGAGATTCCCGAAGAACTTAAAGTTATTTACAAGTATGCATTTACAGTTTAGAAGTCTCTTCTTGTACTTTTTATTGCCAATGTTAATTTGATTTGTTTGTTCATCAGAACTGTTTGGGAGATCAAACAAAGAATATTGGTTGACATGGCTGTTGACCGTGGATGCTTCATAGACCAGAGTCAAAGCCTCAACATTCACATGGATCAGCCTAATTTTGGAAAACTTACTTCTCTGCACTTCCATGCCTGGTCAAGGGTAAGTAATACTGGTTTAGATTAGCATTTTGCATTGTTTTCAAGTAGCATCCCATGTTTTTGGAGCCATGCTTGAATGAAAAGGTGCACTAAAAAGGCTAAGCTTTAAAAACGAAAGTGAAATCTATTTTTAATCTTCAATTTTGTGAAATGTAATTTAAGAAGATATTTGATTGGGTGGAGAGTGAGGAACAAAGACCTTAGCCTACTGCACTTGGGGCAAAAGGTTCTGTTTCTTTAGGCTCAGCAAAGATCAAATTTTGTGTTTGACTATGATTGGACTGTATAATTTCCCCCCTGTCAACCTTCAAATGATTCTGTTCCCAGTCAATTACACCTGCAACCCTTTGTTTTGCCTTCTACGGCTGCCTTCCTAGCTGTTGAAACATGAAACGCATAGGGAAGAATTTTTTTACTGACAATTTTTTTCTAGCAAGTCTTAACTTACTTTTTAAAAAGTAACTTTTAAGCTTAGCCAAATATTCTCTAAGGATTTGATTTCTTAAAGCTTTTGACTTCCCCCCCTGTGTTTGTTGCCTATGGGTGTAAACCTGTGCATGCTGTCTGTGCTAGGTCTCACTTTTCTGTAAAAGTGGCTTGCCCTGCTTTACACATTAGTATTTTTTTTTTTTACTGACTAGCCTGTCCTTGCGCCCTGATTGTTATCCTTGTATCTGGACCTGAAGGGTTTGAAGACCGGTATGTACTATCTAAGATCACGTGCTGCAGCCGATGCTATCAAATTCACAGTTGACACTTCGATGATAAAGGTAGAAACTGTTCAAGGCTGTAAGCCCTGTCCCAATTAATTTACAGTTGTACTAAAGTAATTTGTGGCTTTGCACATCTGCTTGCAGGATAAGCCAAAGGTGGTAGCCGATGATGAAAATAGCAAGATGGCACAAATGGTATGTTCTTTAACTAACCGGGATGAGTGCTTGGCTTGTGGAAGTTAGGGCTCCAGCAAACATTCTGGCCTTTGAGTTTGCTGAGGATTCTTTCTCTAGATTCTAAGAATGACGTGTGCTATGTTGAGAGGCATTTTCGATCATTGGGATATTATACTTGACATTTGTGCTTCAAGGTCTTTGAAAAGTTTGATCATCAGATGCTTACACTAGTGCAACTTACTGTATAGGTCCTAGTCGATTCGCTTTAGATGAAAATTATAGGTATTTATTTACGAACTTCTAATTTATGCTTTCTTCACTGTATTTTTTTTCTGTGTTTCAATCTGAGGTTATGAGAAATGGGAAGTAATTCAATTTCTGTAATTTGTGAGAATGTTTTTTCTTTTCAATTAATGTTATTAAGAGCTTCTCAGCAAAGGGCATCCCTTTTGAAAATGCTTATTTTAAAAATATTAACATGAGCTTCTCACTGTCCATCATTCAAATTGGACCGGCTTAAACATGTCCAACTTCCAAGCTTCGGTTGAACTGAGGTGGTCCTTATCAGTTGGGCTGCATGAAAATAGTCAAACTTAAAACCAAACACGAACCGTTTGTTTCAACCTATCGACTTGGGTCCGAGTGGATCGGTCAATGTTTTAATTTTGAAATGAACCAAATCATTTAGAATCAATTTAGTTTAGCTATCGATGTTTCAAAAGTAGTTAAAAACGAATTGAATTGTTAATTCTAAAAATTCTTTATTTTAACAGGGGAGATTTAGCCGAATATTTGATTTTGTATATTTGCAGAATCATAGATCTAACTTCTAAAACTGTAACCAAACAAAAAGAAAGAAAGAAAGAAAAAAAAGACATTATTTTGAAACTAACCCCTGTAGACTAACTCAAAAGGGTTTTGATCTTTGTATACTTTGAATTTAAGAATATAACCATAGAGTGGGCACACAACGATGTTGCTCTCATGGACCAAACTAGCACTTAAATTATTGGCATGACTAAATTACTTTAATTGGAAGCAAAAATGTGACGGTCAACTGAAAACAAAAGAATAAAATATTCTCAAGAGGAAATACTAACAAATAAAACGAATAGAATGCATAGTTAGCGTTAAATGGCGTTGAATCTCACAATTTTGACAAAGGGATCAATAGCTTGTACCACATTTGCATTACCGTTAGCGGACCTCTACGTAAGCTATTGCCTTCGAAGATAATTCTTCTCCTCAGTAGTCAGTTCCAAATCAAAAAGGAAAACAAACAAAATACAAATTGATAATAGAAATTTAAGTAACACTAGAAACTACGTATGACTTGGAAATATCAAAATGGACCATTTCCATCCCTTTCTTGTTACTTTTCTAATACTGAAAAATACAAGTGAAGCAGTAAATGAAGAAAAAATGGAGATATATTATCTCGTCCGTGCCTTCCAAAAAAATTTGGTAGGAGAAAAGAGACGTGATTTCTCAACCCCACCTTACAACTTTTAGATAAAATTATTGTATATCTATGTTTATATAATAATATTTCAAAGTGACAATTTCAAAAATAGAAAAAAACTAAATATAATTCTAGTAGAAAATCAAGTTGTGAACTTCATTGAAGTCGAAGTATCATAGGCATTGCCTTTAAACTTGGTTGCGAGCCTTAGTCAACCCATTGCCTTAGCCTAAATATTTAAATATATAGTTTGTTAGGACATGGGCACTACAATTGGGCAAGATTATGGGAAAGGTGATGCATGAACGACTTCTCTTGTGCCATTCCATCGCCGAATTATGCTGAGTTGTCAAAGAAGGGTTGATAGAACCCTTGATCGAGACTCTCGTGGCGCATGGGATTTGTGTGAATAAAAAATGTCAAAAAATGCTTCCCTTCCCCCTACTGTGTGTATGCTATCAAAAAGAGTGTCAAACTCTTTCTGTCAGCATGGCACGATTGTCCATCACCACATTTATGTGCTTCTATTAGTCTAGACATGTACGTTTAATTCAATTTTTTTATTACAAAAATCGAGAAATATGCAAAAAAAAAAGTATATATATAAATTGGTAATGGTGAAACTTGTATTTCGATCCTTTTGACAAAGAGACAAATTATTTAGGTTTTATCTTCGAAAATTTTAAGATTAATTCAAAACTTTGCTAGTATATATAGAATATGAATTTTGTCATTCAATGGGATCAGTAGGATTCGATAAAATTTAATTAAAAATTCAATCTTCAGTGTGTAATATTTCATAAACTAATTAGAACAATTCTCTAACCCTAAGAAAAAAAGAAATGGAAAAATCAAGAAAATATCGTGGTCAATTATATGAAGTGAGAAACGTATTTTCTACTCACTTATACCCTGTTTGGCCCCTATTTTCTAGAAATGAAAATAATTGGAATAATATTTTTTTTTAAAAAAAATGAGTGGTTGAAAAATAAGTAAAAGTTTTCGATTTACGTATAATATTATTTTATAAAAGATTACGTGGTTGAAAATAGGAGAGAACAAAATAAAATATAATGGAATGTGATTTAATGGATGTCAAACGAGGGCTTAGATTGAAAAACTGACTATGACTTCGAACTAGATTAAAAAATTATATATTAATATAATTTATCATTACTTTTCTTGTATACTTTTTGTTTTGTCACGCTAGTTGTGATTACATATCGATGCATGAAAAAATTGACTCATTTCGAGATAGCAATGGTTCGAGCTTGTTTTTCCATAAAAAGTCAAAGAAATTGACGTGAATAATATATGCTCCATTTTTAGTCAAATTTGGCCGATTTGTCGATTTTGACAATTTCGATATTAAGTCCCTGCTTGAGCCACATTATTATAAAAATGAGAATGAAAAATATAGCTATTATAAGTCCCACACAAGAGATAAAAAGTCAAATATAGTGGCTTGATGTGATGGATAACTGTCATATTTTTCATTTTAATCAGAAAATAATGGGGCTCGAACAGGGCCTAAGTAATCAATAGAGTATCATATCTTTATTTTATCGAGGACCAAACCCTTTATCGAATAAGGAAAAAATTGATTTAAAGTTTTACAAGTTCAGCTTAGAAAATAAATTTTAAACATATAATCAGTATTTACGGGAACAAAAGTTTTTGTACTTGTTTGTATTCTTTTCATTTATTTACGGGTGCAATTTGCATTTCTATAAGTTGACATTTTTAAAAATTAAATCTTTTGACTTTGACTAAAGTCAACGTTTACTAACATATCCCAACACCGTCATTGTAAATTCACATAAAAAGGTGGAGTTAACATCGGCATCACTGTTAGCTTTTTGGTCAAATATTATGTTTTGGCTATGACTGATCGTTGCAGGTGCGGAGCCGGGATTTTAGTTTAGCACAGACAACATTTTTTCTACGTTAAATGTCGAGGTTTTGGTCATGGATTTAATGACGTTAAAAAAATAAAATAATATTACGATAATACTAAAAACTACATAATTTATATATTTCACTTGTTCTTTACGAGTTTTAATACTTTGTGCGAACAGGAACTCCGACCCTGCAACAGGGACGAATTCTCTCACTCACAGACAAAGGGTTGGATTGATTCAAATAAATGAATGGGTTTGGATCAATTGAATTTTGAGGGAATTGGTCTAATAGGACTTCTCTCTCTGAGCTGGTTGGAAAAAGACTATGAATATTCACTACTATTGAATCATTGATATCTGAAACTTTAGAAGTGGGTTTCAGGAGGCAAAAAAAAAAAATCTGCCCAAAAGTCCAGTGCCGGCATCTGCCCGCACTGGACACGCGTTGGCTCCGCCCATGGATTGTAGTGTGTTAGATTATTGAGTTTAAATCTATTGTCTCCATTTAATTGTTCTATTGTCGATAACTATTCCCATTTTAGTGAACATGGTTTCGTCATATAAAAGAAAAAAAATAATTTGTATCTTACTATAATTTTTGATTCATATCCAACAATATATACATACACACACGGTTATACTAGTTTATTCGATGCAAAGTTTGTATTAATAAACAGTATCGTATTTTTATACATCTAAGCCACATTTTTTTTTTTTGAAAATAATGTTTTGATGGAGAATGTGGTTAAAAAATAAGTACCTGTTTGAACATCATTATTTTCTAAGAACGTATATAATAGCAGATTGATAGAGAATATGTAGTTAAAATATAAGAAATTTTTTGAGTTTTCATGTAATATTATTTTATTGAAGAATATGTAGTTTAAAAAAAAGAGAATGATAAATGTATTTTCAAAATAATAGGGATCAAACAAGGGCTAAGAAAAAGTTTCGAATTTGTATGTGATATTATTTTATTAAAAATATGTGATTGAAAAGGAAAAGAGAAAAAATATATATTTAAAAAAAAAAAGAATCATACGAGTCCTAAAATAACATTGTGGTATCTATGGACTTTGGGCAAAATGAAATTATCCAAACAAAATAAAGATGTCGGCCCAGCCTCCCCGCCGACGGATAAACTCGAAAACGTGTAACCCAGATTCCCAAGCTTTGTTTATGCCAATACGAATTCACACCTCAACCTTTGACCGCCAACCCACTCTAAATACATCCTCCACTCCTCCACCACCCCACTTGCCTCCACAGATCAATCCAACTTATAACTCAATTTTCATAAGCACCCGACAAAAAAGTGAGAATCTAACCCATATTTTTGTTCACTTTGTAAAAGATCGATGTCGACTCTTTCAAGTCGGCGGCTGGTATGTGTGTGTGTGTATATATATATATAACTTTCAGTTCAAGAAATTCTTGTCAACTTTCTTGAACGAACATTGCTTAGTATATTGTACATTTTGAATCCACATGTGTGCGTTCAAGGTGGCGAATTTAAGACCAAACAATGCTCGGAGCACAAGGAGAAATGATCCATTGGAGTCAATCCTATCGGGATTTAACAGAGAGCAAGAAATGTCAGAAATGGTGTCAGCTTTGGCCCACGTGGTGGCGGGTAATGTGAGCCAAGAGACGGCGCAGCCAGGAGATAATGGCGGTCGAGGTGGCGGAGCGGTGGGGAGTGGTGGTTCTCCATCGTCTGCATGTTCTTTGGGCGTTGGAGATAAGAGGAAAAGGAAAGAGAATAGCAGTCATGAACAGGCTTCTGAATCAGTTGCAATAGTTTCCAGGGCTTATAATGAAACAGTATCAGGTAAGAATTAAAACTTGACGTCAACTTTTATTCTCTCACGTATTAGAAATAATTCTAGAATTTTCGTAAATTTGAACTTTAAAACTTCTATTTCTATACCTTATAATCTAAGATCTTGCATGGCCTGAAAAGTGATAAACAAATCAAGAAACTCATCAAGCATTGGATATATCCATATCTCTTTCTCAATCCTTTAGGATTGATTATATAGTGAACTTTAGACAATAAAGGAAAAAAGTACATGAAATTGTTGATTATAACCAAATCAAATTAGAATATTAGGAACACTATCAAATAAGAATTATCTCTAATAAAAAGACGAGGAAAATAATAAGCCTTGTAATCCTATGACCCCCTCGAAAAAGGGGACAATTAATGGTGTGAAACTAGGTTGGGCTTACTAGTCCGGTCAGGTTGTGCCAAGCTTGTGATCTGAGTCGGCTGACTTGTTTTGGCCAGCTTTGTACGAACCCAAATCTTTGGGCCTAGCATAATCTAGCGAACTCGAGTTTGCTTGGGCCACCTCAAAATCACGGCCCCGTAATTTCCTCTTCTTAAAACGGCTAGCTGGGGCCGTACCATTTTTCACATTCTCCGAGAACTTTGACCTAGTTTAAGTATTTGACATGAATGTGCATGAAATACAGGTGCAGAAGGTCCAAGCACAAGAACAAGTATCATAACATCAACAAAAGCAGTATATACATATTGCACTCCAATAAATGACGCTACAGAATCCCATGGAACAAGAAAATACAGAGGAGTTAGACAAAGGCCATGGGGCAAATGGGCTGCAGAAATTAGGGATCCCTACAAAGCCTCTAGGCTTTGGTTAGGCACATTTGACACTGCAGAGGGTGCTGCTAGGGCATATGATGAGGCTGCCCTTAAATTTAGAGGCAATAAAGCGAAACTAAACTTCCCAGAAAATGTTAGGCTCTTGCAAATTCAATCACCAGCACCAAATAAACTTGTTTCAGTTTCTACTTCAACCGAACCAATTGTTCACACTCATCAAGTTCAATATCCCATGCAGAATATGAACTACAGCTCACAAGTTTCGATGAATCTTGATGACATTCCAATGCAGCCTGCTGGGAATTTTTGGGATCAGTTACTGGTTTCGTCTTCATCCTCGTCTCTGTCTTCTTTTCCGCTGTTTTTTTCCGGCTAACCCACAGGGCAATGTCGAGCCGGAGGATAATCGAAGAAGTGGAGCTGAATATTCTTCGACGCCAGATTCAAGTCATCAGACTTCTTCAGGATGATCTGACCACATAAGACTAGTATATTGCATCAGTTTCTTTGATTTTTGATGTGTAAATTTTTAACACGATTTTGTTGATAAATTTGAAGGGGGAAAATGGCTATAACGTGGCTTGATAGATCCAAGTTCTTGTGTAATTGTTTACGAAAACGCAACCGTAATTCAATTCTCATACATAATTCCGTCGGCACTACATATCAAGCAAAGTCTACAAGATACCATTTATAGCAAACATGTAATGACTTGAGCCTCGCACTTGACCGTTCTCTTATGTGCTGTTTGCTCTGGAAGAGTTTGAACCTATCTTATCCTTCACAAGATTTCTACCACGTCCCCATGATTCAAACTCTCGACCTTTCGTTTATGTGAGACTTAAATTGAATTCTGAGGTCACGTATTTTAATCTTGGGGAATTCGTGTTTTTTGTAATCACCCGACCTCTATACTCATATTGTTAACTTATGTAAAATTCGGTCTAGAAGAGCTTGAATCCATCTTATTCCTCACGAATTTTTATCGTGTCCACAGAGTGGATAGTACGTAAGTTAAACGTTTAAACGAAGAGGCTGGATCGTTAAACAACAATACACTGAAATAAATTCCAAGTTAGAAACTCAAAAATGAGAAGTGACGATAATCATGTGTTATCCGTGTACACAAACTGGTACAAACAACTTGTATCTATTTCCTCAGTAAATATCCTAGTCGTTGAAATGGATGAATAATTGAAATAGTAAAAACATCACAAAAGGACTAAACGCACAGCTTGAAAATCAAAAGCCACCAATGGAAAAAAGCAAAGTCCTACCCTCTAGAACAACAAGATTAGTCAAGACAAAAATGAGAATCGAACAGGACCTCAACCTCAATCTCGATTAGTCAGAATCGTCATTTTAAACTTTCAATGCAGCTTCGTGGACCAGTCAGTATCGTCATTGTCTCCTTGTGGATTTGATGGCAACTCTTTTCCAAGAGGTCAAAAAGCCTCTCCAAGTTCATGGACCATGAATTTAGAATGTCGTTACTGTCCTTGGCTGTCTGGACATTGTATATCTACGTTTATATAATAATAGTATTTTTTCACCATTTTTGCATTATTTTCTCTAATTCTTCATCAAATATTGAGTTTTACTTATTTAACGCAATATAATATAAATTAGGCTATATTTTATCAGAAGAGCTATAAAATATCATTATTTAAAACCCCAAATAAGTGTATTAAATACGCTTTTCATTTTCCATGGTTCTCAAGTTTCAATCCATAGAGTGGGCACACAAACGATGTTGATCTCTTTGGACCAAACTAGCACTTAAATTATTGGCATGATTAAAATAATTTAATTGGAAGCGAAATATGCCAGTCAACTAAAAACAAAAGAAGATTAAAATATTCTAGAGAGAAATTACTAACAAATAAGACAAACAGAACGTACGGTTAGCACCAAATGTCGTTGAATCTCAAAGTTCTGATAAAGAAGATATCAATAGTTTGTACCACATTTGCATTACCATTTACCGTTAGCTATTTCCTTCGAAGATAATTCTTCTCCTTAGTGGTCAATTCCAAATCAAAAAGAAAAACAAACAAAGTGGTCAATTCCAAATCAAAAAGAAAAACAAACGAAATTTAAATTGACAATAGAAATTTAAGTAACATAAAAGAAACTACGTGTGACTTAGAAATGTCAAAATTTCCCCTTTCCATCCCTTTCGCATTACTTTTATAATAATGAAAAATATAAAGAAGTGAATGAAGAAAAAATGGAGATATATTATCTCGTCATCGCCTTCCAAAAGAATTTGGTAGGACAAAAGATACAGGCTGTTTCAACCCACCATGCAACTTTTAGATATGTATATCTAAGTGTATCTAATAATATTTTAATGTGACACTTTCCAAAATAGAAAAAACTAAATATAATTCTAGTAAGGGGCGGACCCACATGGGGTCAAATGACCCCACAAAATTTTGCTCATGTATTTTTTTTTTTTTGGTACAATCTACTTTGATGCACTCGTCTGGATGTCAAATGAAGTCAAAATATTGCATTCTTAATATCATTTCGAAGTGCTCATGGCCTAGTTTTTCACTCATTAATGGCATGCGAAGTGGTCAACTATAACAAAAGTTATGACATGTTAAAGTAAGGCGTTTGAAACTAGTATTTTGAAAATTTCAATAATATCCTAACTTTAAAAATTCATTTGCAATCATATACTATCTGAATCCACAAATTGTCCATGTCATATAAAAGTTTGTTTCGAAAATTACATTATTTTCATATCGAATGGTCTAAACGGATATCGAAAATAGTTAAATATGTATCAAACGTACGCCTCAAAAAAGATGTTTAACTCGTTTTTTGTTTTAAAAAATTCAATTAATTATTATTTTTGCACGGTAAATTTTTCAATATAATTTATATCGTTTCATTCGGAAGTATTACATGAAATATGGCATAATTTTTTTAGGGTCGTTACGGATTAAATGCAATTTGAATTACTTTCGAATTATATTTGCTTTAAATTTGAATTTCATTTACTTCCTTAACTAAACTTGAATTTTATTTCAATTCATTTAATTTCTATATTCAATTTAATTTACTCAATGTTAGTTCAGCATTTGCCAATGAAATGATAAACAAAACTATACATATAGTATTTATTTAATAATATTAATATTAATGTAATTATACGACGTTTTCAAAGTGTCAAAATACATATAAACTTATTTTTATTGATATTATGTTATTTATTAAAAAAAATTATTTTTAAAATTTTGACCGCACAATACTAAAGGTCTGAGTCCACCCCTGATTCTAGTACAAAATCAAGTTGTGGACTTCATTGAAGTTGAAGTGTCATGGCCATTGACTTTAAACTTGGTTGTGAGCCTTACAACCCATTGCCTTAGGAAATATATAGTTTATTAGGCACTACAATTAGGCAAGATTATGGGAGAGGTGATGGGTTCACTTACGACTTGTCTTGTGCCGTTCCATCACCACATTTACGTGGTGCTTTTTATGTGCTTGACTAATCTCACATGTACGTTTGAATTCATTTTGTTTTAATAAAAATCGAGAAATATGCAAAAAATATATAAATTGGCACTGGTGAGACTTGTATTTCGATCCTTTTGACAAAGAGAGAACTTTATTTAGGTTTTAACTTCGACAATTTTAAGATAAATTCAAAAAATTTAGTGTTATAGGATATAAATTTTGCCATTCAATGGGATCAGTAGGGGTCGATTAAATTCAATTAAAAATTCGATCTCCAATGTATAATATTTCATAAACTAGTTAGAACAATTCTCTGACCCTAAGAAAAAAAGAAATGGAAAAATCAAGAAAATATCATTGGCAATTATATGAAGCGAGAAATGTATTTTCTACTCACTTATACCCCGTTTGGCCCCCATTTTCCAGAAATGGAAATAGTTGGAATAGTATTTTTTTTTATTTAAAAATAAGTGGTTGAAATTTTCTCTCACATGTGGACCCCACTTTTCTTTTAACGGTCAAAAAATCAATTCTCAAAATCCCTACCAAACGGGCCTTGATTCTTGCTAGGATTCATGAATATGATTGTCGGACAAAAAAAAAAAACAAAAAGTCAACCGTTTGAAAGTTAGTAATTTGACTAAATTAAATAATTATATATTAATATAATTTATCATTACTTTTCTTGTACACTTTTTGTTTTGTCACGCTAATTGTGATTACATATCGATGCATGAAAAAATTGACTCATTTCGAGAGAGCAATGGTTCGAGCTTGTTTTTCCATAAAAAGTCAAATACATTGACGTGAATATAATATATGCTCCATTTTTAGTCAAATTTGGCCGATTTGTCGATTTTGACAATTTCGATATTAAGTCCCCGTTTGAACCACATTATTATAAAAATGAGAATGAAAAATATAGTCATTATGAGTCCAACACAAAAGATAAAAAGTCAAATATGGTGACTTGATATGATGGATAACTGTCATATTTTTCATTTTAATGAGAAAATAATGGAGCTCAAACAGGGCCTAAGTAATTAATTGAGTATCATATCATTATTTTATTGAGGACCAAACCTTTTATCGAATCAGTAAAAATTCGATTTAACGTTTTACAAGTTCAGCTTAAAAAATAAATTTTAAACATATAATCAGTATATACAGGAACAAAAGTTGCTGTACTTGTTTGTATTCTTTTTATTTATTTACGGGGTGCAATTTGCATTTATATAAGTTGACATTTTAAAAAATTAAATATTTTGACTTTTGACTAACGTCAACGTTTACTAAAATATCCCAACACCGTCATTTTAAATTCTCATAAAAAGGTAGAGTTAACATCACCGTTAGCTTTTTGGTCAAATATTATGTTTTGGCTATGACCGATCGTAGTGTGTTAGATTATTGAGTTTAAATATATTGTCTCCATTTAATTGTTCTATTGTCGATAACTATTCCCATTTTAGTGAACATGGTTTCATCATATAAAAGAAAAAAAATAATTTGTATCTTACTATAATTTTTGATTCATATCCAACAATATATACATACACATACGGTTATACTAGTTTATTCGATGCAAAGTTCGTATTAATAAACAGTATCGTATTTTTATACATCTAAGCCCCATTTTTTTTTTTTTTTGGAAAATAATGTTTTGATGGAGAATGTGGTTAAAAAATAAGTACCTGTTTGAACATCATTATTTTCTAAGAATGTATTTTATAATAGCAGATTGATAGAGAATATGTGGTTAAAATATAAGAATTTTTTTGAATTTTCATGTAATATTATTTTATTGAAAAACGTGTAGTTTAAAAAGAAGAGAGTGATAAATGTATTTTCAAAATAATAGGGATCAAACAAGGGCTAAGAAAAAGTTTCGAATTTGTATGTGATATTATTTTATTAAAAATATGTGATTGAAAAGGAAAAGAAAAAAATATATATTTAAAAAAAAAAAAGAATCATACGAGTCCTAAAATAACATTGTGGTATCTTTGGACTTTGGGCAAAATGAAATTATCCAAACAAAATAAAGATGTCGGCCCAGCCTCCCCGCCGACGGATAAACTCGAAAACGTGTAACCCAGATTCCCAAGCTTTGTTTATGCCAATACGAATTCACACCTCAACCTTTGACCGCCAACCCACTCTGTCTCTACATACATCCTCCACCACAGATCAATCCAACTTATAAGTCAATTTTCATAAGCACCCGACAAAAAAGTAAGAATCTAGCCCATATTTTTGTTCACTGTGTAAAAGATCGATGTCGACTCTTTCAAGTCGGCGGCTGGTATATATATATATATATATAACTTTCAGTTCAAGAAATTCTTGTCAACTTTCTTGAACGAACATTGCTTAGTATATTGTACTTTTTGAATCCACGTGTGCGTTCAAGGTGGCGAATTCAAGACCAAACAATGCTCGGAGCACAAGGATAAATGATCCATTGGAGTCAATCCTATCGGGATTTAACAGAGAGCAAGAAATGTTAGCAATGGTGTCAGCTTTGGCCCACGTGGTGGCGGGTAATGTGAGACAAGAGACGGCGCAGCCAGGAGATAATGGCGATCGAGGTGGTGGAGCGGCGGTGAGTGGTTGTTCTCCATCGTCTGCATGTTCTTTGGGTGTTGGAGATAAGAGGAAAAGGAAAGAGAATAGCAGTCATGAACAGGCTTCTGAATCAGTTGCAATAGTTTCCAGGGCTTATAATGATTTTACCATTGGAGGTTCTGAAGTAGCATCAGGTAAGAATTAAAACTTGACGTCAAATTTTATTCTCTCACGTTTAGAAATAATTCTCAAATTTTCTTAAATGGATGGTGTTAAGATTTGAACTTTAAAACTTCTATTTCTATACCTCATAATCTAAGATCTTGCATGGCCTAAAAGGTGATGAACAAATCAAGAAACTCATCAAGCATTGGATGTAACCATATCTCTTACTCAATCCTTTAGGATTGATTATACAATGAACTTTAGACAATAAAGGAAAAAAGTACATGAAATTGTTGCTTATAACCAAATCAAACTAGAATTATAGAGTTAGGAACACTGTAAGATAAGACTGATCTCGAATAAAAAGACGAGGAAAATAATAAGCCTTGCAATCCTATGACTCCCTCGAAAAAGGGGACAATTAGTGGTACGAAACTAGGTTGGGCTTACTGGTCTGGTCAGGTTGTGCCAAGCTTGTGATTTGAGCCGGCTGACTTGTTTCGGCAAGCTTTGTACAAAACCAAATCTTTGAGTCTAGCATAATCTAGCGAACTCGAGTTGGCTTGGCCCACCTCAAAAACACGGCCCCGTACTTTCCTCTTCTAAAAACGGCTAGCCGGGGCCGTACCATTTTTCACATTCTCTGAGAATTTTGATCTAGTTTATGTATTTGACATGAATGTGCATGTAATACAGGTGAAGAATGTCCAAGCACAGGAACAAGCGTCATAACATCAACAGAAGCAGTATATACATATTGCACTCCAATAAATGATGCTACAGAATCCCATGGAACAAGAAAATACAGAGGTGTTAGACAAAGGCCATGGGGCAAATGGGCTGCAGAAATTAGGGATCCCTTCAAAGCCTCTAGGCTTTGGTTAGGCACATTTGACACTGCAGAGGGTGCTGCTAGGGCATATGATGAGGCTGCCCTTAAATTTAGAGGCAATAAAGCGAAACTAAACTTCCCAGAAAATGTTAGGCTCTTGCAAATTCAATCACCAGCACCAAATAAACTTGTTTCAGTTTCTACTTCAACCGAACCAGTTGTCCACACTCATCAAGTTCAATATCCCATGCAGAATATGAACTCCAGCTCACAAGTTTCGATGAATTTTGATGACATTCCAATGCAGCCTGCAGGGAATTTGTGGGATCAGTTACTGGTTTCGTCTTCATCCTCGTCTCTGTCTTCTTTTCCGCTGTGTTTTCCGGCCAACCCACAGGCCCAGGGTAATGTCCGGCCGGAGGATTATCGAAGAAGTGGAGCAGAATATTCTTCAACGCCAGATTCAAGTCATCAGACTTCTTCAGGATGATCTGATCACAGCAGACTACTATATTGCATCAGTTTCTTTGATTTTCGATGTGTAATTTTTTAGCGTGATTTTGTCGATATATTTGAAGGGGGAAAATGGATATAACGTGGTTTGATAGATCCAAGTTCTTGTGTAATTGTTTACAAAAATGGTGACACGCAACTACAGTTCAATTCTCATACATAATTCCGTCAGCACCACATATCAAGCAAAGTCAACAACATACCATGTATAGCAAACATGTTAAGGACTTGAGCCTCGCACCCAACCGTTCTCTTAGGTACCATTCACTTTGGAAGAGTCTGAACCAATCATACACTTCACAGATTTCTATCACGTCCTCAGG